TTAGTTGCGTTAGTAAACGATGGGCGTAGTAAACGTTACGCCGCTCGTGCAGTGGGAGTTCATGAAGCAACTGCTCGTAGAGCAATCCGCAAGTACGAACAAACAGGAAGCACCGCTCGGAGGGTCGGTTCGCCCCCGAAAAACTTCTCCAAGAGATGATCGCTTCTTGAGATTGCGGATTTTACGGAATCGATCAAATACTGCGGTAAATGTTCAGCAAAATCTTTGCCAAATTCGTGATGTTGCAGTAAGTAAGCAGACGGTACGTAGACGTCTAAAAAGCGTTAATTCAAGAGCTTGAAGACCTGCAAAAGGTCCCAAATTATTGCCCGAACATCGTGCTGCTAGATAAAATTTTGTTGAAAATTATGGACAGTGGAATATTCCTGAATGGTCGAATGTCTTGTTTAAGATAGACTTTGAATCTACTTACATCATGTATATTTTTCAATTCATTTGGTAATGAATTTTATAAAATTATTCCATTATGAAATATAGATTGTTTGCGAATGTTCGACTTGAATGTATTTGCTATCAAGTGATTCAATTGTCAAGTCCCATAAGTATGGACTGTATTGACTTCATTAAAAGCTGAGTTTGATATTTTTAATTCATTCCTTACATAGTGAATAAAACAACATATTTTGAGTTTATATATCGAGATCAGATTAAAATAATTTTCTAGGTTTCTATAAATGTACTGTTGGTTTTAGAAAATTTAGATGAGAAATACACTTATGTAATTGATTTGTTTCGTGAAATATTTGTGCTCCCCCAAATAAAAATAAAATTTTGTAGATTTGAATATAAGAGGCAGAAGTAAATTCACTTTGGGTATTTCATAGGAATGATATTTCGGATTTGGAATAAAATGCCGATAATTGGATTTATTTTATTTCTCAAATCGTCCTAGTAATACTAAAATACAGGGGTGGGTTAGACCAGATTGTAACACTCTTTATAATAAATAAATGAAAATATAATTTTGTAGATTTGAATATATGAGGCAGGAGCGAATACACTTTGGGTATTTCATAGGAATGATATTTCGGATGTGGAATAAAATGCATAAAATTGGATTTATTTCATTTCTCAAATCGTCCTAGGAATACGAAAATACAGGGGTGGGTTGGACCAAATTGTAACACATTTTATAATGATATTTCTGATCAGTTTCGTGAGTTATTGAATACCGTTTGGAATCTAATTCGGCACAACTATCACCTATAAAAAATATCCTGTACCATCAATTCAAACCACCACTCATAAACAGGAAGTTCTCGACTATTCTAGACTATAGAGCTGAATGAAATGCCAGTAAGAAAAGTAATATTCATATGTGACTGCATTCACCACAGACAGAAGAGTTCACTGAAGTTTACATGAAATATAGATAGATAAATCTCTTCAGACAACAGAGGAATAATAAAAAGTCCCAGGAGAAAGAATATGACCCGAAGGAGAAGAGCTACCCACTTATGTATGGTAAACTCGAATTATAGTAATTTGTATAGTTATTTTTATCCATGGAGGTTGATTCGAGGGTTGATTAAAATGTTCATGTATTCATATTTGATAGATCGAAAACCAATAATATCAATGATACAAAGATCAATCATACATTCATATCGATGTATGCATCAAAGTGCATTTTGTCTGATATATAGGGTGTTGTGAATTTTACCGTCAAATTTCTTCCACTTCTGTACGAATACATTTGGAATCTGGTAACTACCTATAGACTATTTGAGATTGATCATACCACGGTGATGAACTGAGCATTTCGATTTCAATTTTCATGCATCAGTAACGTGAATTTCCAAAATATTTCCTTTTTTTCAAGAGAACGGACAAATTGGTATTCGTTTCATTACTCCATATCAATGATCTGTTGGTAATTCGCGAAAATCACGAACCAATAGATGGCTCTATTCAACGTCAAATCAACGTCAAATTTCAAACTGAGTATGAACAACAAAGACATTGCCGTATGCACTCATTGCAAATTGGTTATTTCGAAATCATTTTGCAATATAGTGAATAATGAGTTGACTTCGTGAAATACGTACAAGGTTTCCAGTATGGAAAAAGTTACTTTTTGTGCAGAGAAATTGTTATTTGGATGTGGATAATGGTGGTATTCATCATTGATTTCACACTACAATTCCACAGTTTTCAAACATATGTAATGGTCGGAATGGTCCACTCAACACTTGCATGAACTGGAAGCAATCAGCTATTACAAATAGGTATGAAAAAATAATTGAATTCATCAAGAAATATCACTGGCTTTTATGAAGGAGATGGAATTCTAGTGGAGGGGCTGGGAAAAGAAGATATGATTGGAAAGGCTGCTCAAAATGAACAATATTATCGATTTACATAAACAAGGATCTCCAGCAATTGAAGACTTGGAGTTATTCTCAAGATCAAATCGTTGCAACCAACATTTATACAAGGATTCTAACTGTGCTTCAGAAAATGTATATTATATTATTATAAGGTAGGTACTGGCTTCTTCATTGTAAACAATAAAAGTTCATGCAATAATTCGAGTTTTTTCATCAGGGAAAAAATGAGGTTCTGGAATATGCACTTCAACAAATAAATTATTTTCAAATAAAACACAGAAACTCAAAACAATGGTCGCCATATTTGTTGTTCATACTCGCAAGGCTTGTAAAGTTAGCCACCAGAGGCCGCACACTTCTTGATTTTCGCGAATAACCACTTGCGCCATATTCAGATCAATAGTTCTCTCCATACTGCGTTCTCTTCCAGAATAGGCGAGTGGACTTATTTTTTTTTTCATTCCTTGAATAGAATCATCACTCAAATATCTTTCAATTTCATATTTTTCAAGAATTTTTTGGTCGATTTTCAGGTGCTAAAATCATCAATAATACCACGGTAATTTTCAAACGGCTAGAAATTTACCGCCAGTGAAAACTGACGCCACGGTTTTGTAAGTAGGGGCAGATCATAGCACAGTTGCGATGTGTTGAAATAAGATTGGGAACTTCAGAAATATTAGTTATTCGATAATTCATAAAATCTCAATTGAGTATTGATAATACTCCTAATAATGTAAATTCAATTGTCTCGAAATAATGCCTTATGATTTGTGGCTCATTGCTTATAATTAATTTGTGTGAATAATGATAATATCAATGCACACTAGAGGACATTTTGTATCAGCATTCAGCATAATGTTGCCAAGTCTCCAACATTCAGAATAAGAAATATTTGGACTTGCTGGTCGCTCGTAAAAGTCAAGAATGAACTATAACATCATGGGTTCCTCCTATTATGTTTCATTCTACGACAGGACTTCAACATCTTTTGATAACTTGCTAATTGGTGACTTTTCAACCTTGCTTCATGAGTAGAAATGAATGATCATCTGACCAATAACAAAACAGCATAAAAACTGACGTCACCATTTATTCGACGTATCGCCAAATGGCGGCCATGGAGGTTCGTTTGAAATGAGCTCTGAAATTCAACAATCTCGAACAACGCATAAACTCATTATTTTCATAAAGAAAGAGTGAGACGTGTTACAAAAAATAATTCAGGTTCGAATTACAGCTTGGGGAACCAACAACCTATAGTTGATTTCAACGCCACGAAAACTCAAGTCTGTATTTTCTCGAAAAAGGCGGATTTTAGTACTGGTACCACCGTTCTCACCAAGTCCACTATGTCATCTATGCTTGGTGTCTCCATCAGCAATACTCTTTCATGGGATAATCATGTCAGCTTCATCGCGGAGACTGCTTCACAAGAGAAAACTTGGATTGTGCGAAAGGACGACACTTTACACCTGAACAATTTCTCATAATCTACAAAGCACAGATACAGTCTGTTTCAACATACTGTTCCCACATGTGAACTTCAGCACCCAATTATACGCTGATGCTCTTAGATTACATCCAGAGAAGAGTCATTCGCTTAGTGGGTGATGCCACACTCCCTAACTCTTTGACATCATTGAAACCCTGTAGAGTAGTCGGTGACCTCTCACTTCCCTATATATGAATACTTCCACGGATAATGTTATTCAGAAAGCGGGATCCCTGGTATGGTATACATTGAATAACTATACCTATATTGTTGATTCTCCATCAACAGACACAGAACTATCATTTTCTCAGATGTTAATTATTGAGTTAGCAAGTGAAGAATGTGAAATTATCGTGAGTACACGTTCATGTTGGAACAACAAACACTGAATTGGATACCAACTGTAGAATTATTGTTTGCTTCTTTCCATCTCTTGTAAATTTAACAACACCTTAAGAGTGAACTAACTGAGGTAACAACTTATGTGTAATTGACACTTCAGGTTCAACAAAACGTACATTCTCTTCCTATCTTTCCTAAAGGTACACACAATTTTCCTCTAACATAATATGGAAATCATTTCGTGCGCTCTAAAAGGTTCAGAACAATTTAAGTTCCACATTCTCAAATATTAACTTGAGAATCTCCAACATTCTTCTAAAGATGTTCTCTTATTATTTCAATAATTGAGAGGATTTCGAATGAATGATATAATGTTCAGGTGCAGAATGAATTTTGTGCATTAGTTGATAATTATAGTGCCCAAAAAAGTACATAGATTGAAAAGTTTTCAATTCAAGCAAGGAACAACTATCATGCACAAGAGTTATGATATCTGAGTAACCGCGGTCACTGGTGATTATTGTCCAAAACAGCTAGTTGATCTCAATCTCCATCTATATACAAATAAATATTGTGAGGTGAACTCACATGGTAAGATAGTTGCAAAACACGTCATTCATCTCAGTTTGCTGCTACTAAGACAACATTACTCTTTACAAGCACTTATCAAACTCGATATCTCAAATCAATCAGAATCTACACAAACCCAAAAGAAAGCCATGTATATAACATCTTACACATTCCATGCACATACCATGCCAAGCCATAGTAGAGGAAAGCTGCATAACTTAATATAAGATCATATTGCTTACCTTGTAAATACTGCTGCTATGAACCAAGCCAAGAGGCAGATAAGAGAGGCTCTAGCTTTGGTGCAAATATAACCTGCTTTCAGAGGTTTACATATTGCGTAATAGCGTTCGAAGCTGATTGCCAGTATTGTCAATACCGAAGCATGGGCTACTGTCAGTTCAACAAAGGGGACTGCTTTACCTGAAAAAAAAAAACAACCAGTAAGTTCGGGTCCATCGTAGATAGATTTTTCTGCATTAAATAATGTTTTTATGGGAAATCTCAATTTATAGATACGATCAGTCCTCTCCATGTGAAGAATGTGTTCTCTAATAAATATGTTTGAAGGTTGCCAATAAACTAATGGAAACTATCAGATATTGAATAATATACGCCTACCAGACCATATCGAATATTATAGATGGTGTCACGCTCTGTTTGATTTTATATCTGTACCAACCTCCATAAATTTTCTGAATAATGACTGTTTTCAACATATGAAGTGGATTAATGCTTCATTAATTCGATTCTGGAATTCAGTTTTCTACGCTTTAAGGTCTTTACCGCTCTTCTATATCAAGGAATTGCATTCCTGTGTTCAGAAATATCCCCAAATCTCTTCAAATATAACATATGTTTTGGTATAGTATAACTACTATAAGAACTATAAATTCTCGAAATTGGAGTGATTAATCAAATGGTTTGTTGTATATGAGACAAAATGACACAATGAATCGAAGGATAATTTTGGATTTTCCATAAATTCAGACCCTCATCATACCACATCTCCAAATCATTATTGCTGAAGGTTCGACAACAGTGCAATAGTTATTATTGATACTTCTAGGGCTCCAGACCTCGCCATTAAATGCAAACACTCGGGTACGACTATTCAATATTCAATACGTTTTGAGATATACAGTGAGGACCAAAAGTCCGTCGCCCCCCCTGTAACTTCTTTATTCTACACATTACAAAAAAATGTTGAATACACAAGTTGTAGGGTTTCATTCGATCTCTTTAATGGTTTAAGTAACATTCATACAGAGTGTCTCTGAAAAGCACGGTGACTTAGAAGTTAATTTTTTTGAATGGGACACCCTGTATTTCATTGCATTTCCAGATTTTCTCTGATGATCTGATTATATCGATTTATCACACTTGGGGTCTAGCGGAAATGATTACAGAGATATAGGGTGTGAAAAATCGACATTTTTCAACTTTAGGAATTTTTTTTGTCGAAACTATTCATTATTGGTCAAAACGGCTCACATGTCCCTATCTCAACTTTCGATTAACTATCTACTGATATTTAATTGGGACATATACCGGGTGATCAGGATTCTGAATTCTGCACCACCCTGTATTTGTTTCAATTGAATGTCAGTAGATAGTTGATCTAAAGTTGGGATAGGGACATGTGAGCCGTTTTGACCAATAATGAATAGTTTCGACAAAAAAAAATCCTAAAGTTAAAAAATGTCGATTTTTCACACCCTATATCTCTGTAATCATTTCCGCTAGACCCCAAGTGTGATACATCGATGTAATCAGATCTTCAAAGAGAATCTGAAAATGCAATGGAATACAGGGTGCCCCATTTAAAAAAAATCAACTTCTAAGTCACCGTGCTTTTTAGAGACACTCCTTATGAATGGAACTTAAACCATTAAAGAGATCGAATGAAACCCTACAACTTATGTACTTAACATTTTTTTGTAATATGTAGAATAAAGAACTTACAGGGGAGGCGACGGACTTTTGGTCCTCACTGTATAGATACTATAGGGTGTTTACTCAAAGGGGTCATTTCCCTTCATTCTCATAATCATTGATATATTTTCATCATTCGAAATCGTTTTTGGAATAATTTTTCACATCCAAGTGTATCCGGAATGGCCAGTTCCGTCCCAAACAACCTTCCACAATATTGTTGCAGAATTTTGGGGTCAAAAAAAAATTTAAAAAGTGTAAAAATTATTTTAATACATTCGCTCTGAGCACCCGGTATTTCCATATTCACCTTTCCGTACGTAATGAGATACGCCCTCTTCCAATTTCGACTTTCGAATTATCTTAAAAACAAATAATTTTATCGGAATTTTACAAAAATCAAAAAATACTCAAAAATGATTGAACACATGAAGAAAAATAAATAGGAAGTCATTAGCGCACGTACAAAAAAAATATGGGGGTAAGTGTGTACTTGACCCCCAGTATTTTGAATATTTGACAGTTATTTTCTGTTTTGTTTTCCTCACACGATGTAACTCTTTGTGCTGAAGTAATGTACCTATTTTGAGATTAATATCTTATTAATTACGCGAGTACCTAATTAGAAAAAAACAGTTCTTAATTTTCAACTTTGACACCCTGTATATCGAATAAGAAGGGCTAAAATGAAAAATGGTATTTAGAAACTCATATTATTTTTGTTCAAGGAATATATGGTTAATGGATTGACCTCCTTTTAGCGGACACCCTGTATATCGAAGACTAGCTGGAAACTTTGGCTTACGATAATACACTACACACTGTTTTACCACTAAACCGATTTATTTTCATGCCTCGACACGTTTTTCGTTAACTATGTTCGCATCTCCAGGAAGAGATTTAGACAAAAAATCAATCTTCTCATTCTGAATTATAATTCTTGACAGTTATGTCATCCGCTGTTGACTGCGATTACACGATCATGACTACCTATACTGGCGGAATAAACGAAAACTGTGCGATGTGCTTCTCGTGTGTTCTTGCCTACTTTCCATAGTGTAGGAAATAGGCAAGAACACACGAAATACAGCCTCAGAATAATTTGATCATTACATATGGTAAGCAAATAGCAGTTTTCGTATATTCTGCAAGTATGTCGGGTATATAATCGACGTCAACAGCGCTTGACATACCAACTGTCATGAACAAAAATAATAAAAACGAACTGTTTTGAAAGACAAATACACCGTATATAGCCGTAGGTGAAGTATATCCATTCGTGCGTCATAAGATGCGTTTTACAACACATATACGTAATATACTATTAACTTCAGATTCCATATGTTACCGGAACATTTTTTCATTACCTAGAAAATTTCTAGGAAGTCTTATTGGAACACGATTCGAAAGAATTTGATTGTTTCATCGAAAAAATATTTGCTTATTTTTCACGAATTTAGGAAGCAATTTTCCTAATTATTCAAAATAATAAATGGTTCTCCTTTCAATTGTAAATCACGAAGAATGTATAGGGTGGAATACAGTGTCTGAGCAGTTGTCATGGAAGCACCCTCGTATTTTGCGTAATAATTATAGAGGTAGAATTCTAAAAGTCGCAGGGGCGAGGAAACCTAACACACACTCATTAACCAAGTTTGGGCCTCTTCAGTGGAATAAGCTGCTCCACAGCAGTCATCATGGAATCACAGACATTTCCAGAAAATGACATTAGGATACAAGATAGGTCGATTTCGGATTTGATTTACTACTAGCACATTTTCACTGAGAAAAATTTGATTATGAAAAATCTTATTTTGCCTGACATAATATCATAAAGAATTTTCCGAAAATATCGGTTGTTACATGATATGGCTGTTGGCGAGCAATAATGTATATATATCGAAGACTGGAACCTTTGGCACGATAAAACACTACACACTGTTTTACCACTAACCAAACCGAATTTTTACACCTCGACACGTTTTTCGCTCACTATGTTAGCATCTTCAGGAGAAGATTGAAACTCATTTGAATCTTCTCCTGAAGATGCTAACATAGTTAGCGAAACACGTTTCGAAGCGTAAAAAATCGATCTGGTTAGTAGTCAAACAGTGTGTAGTGAATATAATGTATTTATATGAATACTCCCTGTAGGAATTAATCGAGTAGGTGGTATATTCATCATTCCAGATCTTCTTGAGATTTCCTCTCCTTGTTTTAATAAAATGAATATATGAGTATTATTTCAATATACCTACGTGTGGTAGGGACTGAGCAGATGATTTGCCTCAAAATGTCACTGCCTATAAGAATGTTTCTATCAATAAAGAGCAATATTATCCGAGCTGTCTAAGGCATTCAAATCAATTGGTAGGAAGAGGAATCTAGCGTACTGATCAAATTTCAGTTCTCATTACGTACATATACCTAAGGGTTGCATAGGATCGAGATTGAATTTTGAAATTCAATTCCTCTTCAACATATATACAGGACCAAAATACCTCGATCGGAGATCACTGCCTTACAGATATCTGCCCGGGCTAATCAAGTACAGCGTTAGATTCCTATCAATCTGCATCCTTACCGTTACCTGCCTTGTTTGACCCTTCTTCTGGTGTCGCTAAGAGTATAAGATTTCAATATTATATTGCTGCTGAATAGTGCTGAAGCTTGGACTTCGTATAAGGCTGTTAGAAGCCATCAGGCAATCTAAAAACCTTTGGGTGTAACTGCCAAATAATAGCGTGCTACTATGAGCCAGGATGCCTGGTTTTAGGTAAGTGACTATTATTATGTATAGGAGTCGCTAGTTTTCTACTATTCCTTTCTGGAGTGTTTGAGGTTAGGTAAGGTGCCGGGACTGATATGATTACGCAATTTTAGATTGGTGTATGCTGCGAATAAACTGTCTAACGGACCTTTGCATTTGCCTTATTTGTGGAACAATTAACATCAAATTTTTGCTACAGATGATATCTGTTATTTTATACCAGCGTTTTGACACAACCTCAAAAAAGGAAGTTATGTATTAGTTACTCAAAACATCTGAACAATATTGTATTTTACCATTCTAATTATTTTCTAGGAGTTTTCAGGTTATGTCTATTTCTTCTCGAATCATCGATAGAATGAATGATCTTTAGAATAGACAGAGAAGATGATATCTCCCTGAATATAACTGTGTTAGAATTGATCTTACCGTATTTTTCCAGAATGACTAGAAGTATGATCCAGTTACACAGTGATATTTCAAGACAGAATAACTACTATATCTCTAAGTATCATTTCAGTAATTCTGCTTTATGATTCCAGTTATACTTAGCTTTGGTATATGACTTTTGCATAATCCAGTGATCTATTGCTGAACCATTTTGTCTTGGATTCTGGAAAGTGAAATATACATATACGACTTCTTGGAAATTTCCTGACAGATTTTGAAATTCTATTCTGACTATGTTCTGCTTCTAGCTATTGTATATAAGTAACTC